GCTGTGGAAGTGTTTTGGGTGTGTTACAGATGTGGAGATGTTGCAGCTGTTTCAGCAAACACGCGGGTGCTGTGCAACAGCACACGAAGGATCAGCAGGCCGGCGTCACACAGGCGCGAGAAGCGGCCCTGAGAGAGAGGAAGAGTGGGAAAATGCCGGCACAGTGCGGGCCGATCTCAGGTTTCGACACTGCTCCCCCGGCCTGCTGCAGTACCGCAGATTCTGGCTCCTTTCCTCTTGGCTCCTCCCATCCTGCTGTTCCCACGGCCGGTTTCCGGGCCGACGGCGTGCCTGATTACCTTGCTGAGGATGTAGATGGCGTCCCCTCGCTTGAAGGACAGCTCGTCCGGCTGGTCCCCCGTGCAGTCCCACAGCCCCTGGTAGTAGCTCTTGTAGTCTGTGCTCTTGTTCACTAGAAATGGAGATAAAGACGAATGATACACGGCTGGAAGACTTACGATTTTTAATCGATTTCAAACAACTAAAATTTCTTACACCCCCATCCTCTACCCCAGCCATAGAGAACACATTTCCATTTAAACGGCAATGCCTGCGAAAAAAAAAAAAGATAATTTTGAACTTCACACCTTTTTAAAGGTCATCTCTATTGAATAGAATTTTTTCACAACCTTCCGATGTCACCCAGTATAAATGTTTGTTACCGTAATGTTACGGTCCTCTAAACGAAAGAAACATGGAATTTTAAAGGGAGACATCATAGATCCTGAAGGAATGAAATGACAGGATACGGCCGGATATGATGACAACAAACTGTGCTTATTTTCCCAGTCCTAATGAGGAAATAAGCATGTTCTATGAAGCAGGTAGCTGCTCTTCCAGGAGACTTTCCTGAGGACAGGAAACACGATTCTTTCTTCACACTGAAGGCTCATTCAAAATCGACAATCACAAGGAAAACTGAGAGGCACACACAAGCAGCCCCGCCCTGCACTGCAGCCCTGGAGTTGGGGTGACCAGCTGTTCCTGGGTGCTGGAGGGCTCTGACCCATCACTGTGGGCCTGCACTCCCCCTCCAGATCTGCTGCGAAAAGAAATGACTTCACCAAGATGACTTCCAGCACGTGCCGTCATCTACCTCAGGGCTCAGTGGTCTAACCAGTGTCTCAGTGGTCTAACTGGGCTCAGAGGTCTAACTGGGAGCTCAGTGGTCTAACCAGTGTCTCAGTGGTCTAACTGGGGCTCAGGGGTCTAACCAGTGTCTCAGTGGTCTAACTGGG